AGAATTGTCATGCAATTGAAAGAAATACAATTTCTGTTTAGAAGGCCATATGTTATGTATTGATATGGATTTTCTTATGAGACCTATGCTGGAATTTCAAATTGGGTGGCAGTATCTCTATCTAATGAGTAATAAAGCAAATTTCATTTATGAAGTCATACGTAGAATATGATTGAGTAACTTAAATATAATTAAAATCTTCCCTTAATATTAAACCTGGACAATAGATATAGTTTATCAAAGAGATTATATTTAATTTAGTTGCTGTATCATAGCAATTTATTAATTCATTTAGACAACTGTCTTGCTAATAATGCTGCTTACAGTTTCCAGCTCATAGCGCTAGAAATTCTGCACAGAAGAAATAGATAATTTCTTTCAGCTGAGCTGCCTGAAGTTTTATTTCACTTTCATGTAATATTTGGCAATAAGATTAGATACTTTGTATCTAGTATCTCATTTGTTCTAATAGCTGGAGTAAAGTTGAGTATTTAAAATAGATTAACTTCAACAAAATGGTCTCTTTTCCACTTGCAAAGTGGGATTTAAGTTTTAGACTTGTCCTTGGTAAAAATGGAATGATTCATGTTCAGATTATAGTGAGTCAAGTTTTGTGCAAATAATAAATTTTGTTTTTATTGAGTGATACAAGAAATAGCAGTATTTCCATAAAATGGAGAAGAATCTGTGGTGGTTAGTCTTTAGAAGTAGCTAGTATTCCTTAACTGGTAGATTAATCTTGGGTTGCTGACTTAACATATTTTTAAGCCCACATCCTTGTGGAGTTTACAGATGAGGAAAAGTTAGAATTAACTTGTTGAGATTGTGGCTTCATAATGCCAGAAATGATCATTTGGGTCAGATAAATTTTCAGTAGAAAAATCAAGCAAATGGTGCTAGATAGATGTTTTGCCATTTAGATGCAACCTTTAGATTGCTTTTGAATAAACAGATATAACGGAAGTGATTTGTTAGCTTATTAAAGAAAATTTTAACTTTGGTGGTAAAGGTTATCCTATTGAACACTTAGATATTCTGAGTCTTTTTAATACTAGCTGTTGGTGTCTCTTTGTCTTTTTTTTTTTTTTTTAAACTACAATCCTCTTTGAAAATTGCACGTGTGTAAATACTTGCAAAAATGCTCAGCTAATTTTTGGAGATTGACAGAACCCCAAAGCTCATCTAAATAGATGTTGGAAGACTTGTAAAAGCAGAATTCCAATTTTAAAGAAGTGATGGCAGCAGAGAAGTCAGTGTTAAAACAAAACTTAAATTTTACACTGTGGTTTCATTCATTCGATATATGTTTATTGGGCACCAAGGGTTCCAGCCAGGGCTTTGAACCAGTTTGTTCTGGTTCAAGCCTCCTGCTGAGAATTTGCATTTCCACCGCATATATAGGTATACAGGTGTAAATGAGAATTCTCATTTCCACCTCAAATATAGATTCTTAGATATACATAAGAATCACCCGGGGATCTTATTAAAATGTAGATTCTGATTCAGTATATCTAGGGGTGGAAAGGCAAATTCTCAGCAGGGGGTCAAAACAGAACAAACCGTTTTGAAGCTCTGGTTCCAGCAATGAACAAGACAGAGTAGGGCCTTGAGCTCACAGAACTTATCTTCTGGAGATGTTGATTGTTAAGGTGAAACACAGTGGTCTTGACCCTCAGAATTAACTCTAGCTGGTACTCATAAATCTAAGCAGTTCTTTTTCTTCAGAAACTAGAGATGATTTTGATTAATTGACCTGACAGTGTATGGCACATCATATTTACTTGGGAGGATTTAATAACCCCAGAGACTCCCAAAGGAAACAAACATTTCCACATACTATTAGCCTGATGGGATCATAGTAAGAGAAAGTGCTAGCAAAAATTTAGAGTTTTCACAGGCAAAGGAAACTTTTGGTCAGTCCTTACACACGGTTAAGTTTTTTACCTGAATTCACTTTGGAAAAGTCAGGACAATAGAAACTGGAAACAAGGAAGGAAAACATTTTATGGGAATTTTCTGTCTTCTTAGGGGCAAAAGTAATTTGGTTCTTGAGGAGGATATTGTTATATTTTAAAAATATACAAACAAAAGTGACTTTTTAAATTTTTTGGTAAGTTGTGGTAGAAAATATTTTATGTAGTTGGGAATTTTGAGAGGGAAAAGACTAATTAATCTGGAATATTCCATTGTAGTGGTTCTTAAAGGGTGGTCCCTGATCAGCAGCATTGGCATCGATCACCTGGAAACATGTTAAAAATTCTTGGGCCTCACTCCAGATCTACTGATGGGAAATCCTGGACGTGGGGTCAGCAATCTGTGGTCAACCAAGCCCTCCTGGTGATTCTGATGCTTGATATTTACACACAAATTATTGTTCATTTAGTGTAGCTCACGTTTATCCAAACGCATACACACATAAGTTGCATTGGGAGCCTTTGAAATTTATAATGCAATGCATAGCATATTTTTTTAGCACATTAATATTTTAAAATATTCCCATAGTTTTTTTTTAGATTAATGCTAAAATATCCTAAAATAAGATTTATACTAAATGAGGCCATTTTGTATTAAATTAGATAACATAATTGAAACCTATCATAATACCTAGCATTGTATATTATATTCTTTTCTTTTACAAACAAGTATTTGTTTTCAGGTATATATTTTCTTATAATCTGTCAGGTATTGTTAATTCACTCTAACACTTCTTAATTTCACAGTGTCTGAATGTGAATAAACATGTAGATGTATTAAACTATTAGAAAACTTAAAATCATATTTACAGGCTCATTTTATATGGGCATTTTTTGGGGACAGCTTAAAATTGGCACTGAAATAGAATGAAATTTTAGGTTTCTGTAGGATAGCGCTACGTTTAAACTTAAAATAAGGACAATTAGTAGTATCAGAGATACTGCATTTTAACATTGCTTCTAATGCCACCTGAATTTTGCCAGTAAGTGCTAGCCTGAGGGTGCAAATGAGTTGCCTTGACATTGGCATTCACAAGCAGCAGTTTTTAGCTTGCCCTCCCCATTTGCTACAGCACACCACTGACTTTTCCCTGGAGGACCCCTGCCCCCAGTTATCTGCAAGTTTTCAGGGTACATTTGGATGTGCCGAGGAGCAAGTCTGCTTCTGTTCGTTCACTCTGGCTCCTCCTCCATACTCTGTGATGGCCACCTGACAGCTGTCTGATGGCCCTCTGCCCACTGCCCCAATGCACGAGGTCTTAGGATAGGGCTACTTTCCTGCTTTGAGCCCTGTGTCAGGTGCATACTCAACCTCAGGACCTCCCAGAGGTCAACAGATGATACATCTCCATCATAACTCTCTTTGCTAAAGAAACCCTACTGAACTAAAAGACACAGGGAGAATACTCACCACACTCCTGTCTCCATCAACTCCTGGCTTGAAAATGGCACTGCCTGTGCCCGAAGATTCATTACCATCTAGTTGCAGATTCTCTCCATAGGGATACAGACCCTGTCCTTATGGGAACAGATGCCACGTTGTGTTGTTAATGAAAGTCCTATTTATTTCCCAGCTCCCTGTGTCTTTCCTAGGTACCCACACACTAAATTTGGAATGTCCCTGGCTCAGTGCATATCAATGCAGGCAAATAAAAGCTTTGGTGGGGAGTGGGCAGCAGCAGGGCCACTTTCGGGGTCATATGACCTAGGCAGGTGTCTACAGTCCTCTGCTGAGGAGGGCTCAGTGCTTGGTTTAACACTTTGCTGTTGCTGTCTTGAAATTCATGATAATTTTTGAACAAGGGACTCTGCATTTTCATTTTTCACTGGGTTCCTCAAACTAGGCAGGGTCCTGGGCTGCAGCCTGACCCCGTTCAGCAGAGACCCAGACCCTGAACCTCAGTTTAGGGATACTCTATTAGACTACACCTGCTTCTTCATGAGTCTGTTCTTGAGATTTGCATTACCCAAACCTATACTCTCCTGAAAGAGTTTTCCCAATACCTGGCAATGAGATACTAAATTTAAACACGATTCTTTTTATACGAGCGATGTTGTTGTTGTTAGCTGTCAGGGCATACACAGTGGGATTGGACGGTTATGATCCATATGATTTTTATTGGCTGATTTTCAGAAGTAGATTGCCAGGCTTTTCTTCCTAGTTTGTCTTCATCTGGAAGCTCCACTGAAACCTGTTCAGTATCACAGCAACATACACACCTCCACTGACAGATGGGCGATGGCTGTGTTTGAGGTGCATTGGCCAGGAATTGAACCCAGGTTTCCCACATAGAAGGAGAATTCTGCCTCTGAACCACCATTAACCCCCTATAGGAGTCCTAGAGTTTATAAATTTATAGGAATCTTGCAATAGTTTATGATTATTGCCTTTTTAGATATTCAGCCAATTTTGGAATTAAAAAATATATTTGTTAACAGATTTCCTGGTACAAAAGTTGGTGAAAATGTATCAGGGGCCAAATTAACTGTGATTCATTCATTAGGCATGAAAGGAGTACTTATTAAGTGCTAAGTACAGGAGGAACCAGTCCCTGGAGAAGGACATCATGCTTGGTAAAGTAGAAGGTCAGTGAAAAAGAGGAAGACCCTCAACGAGATCGATTGACACCGTGGCTGCAACAAGGGGCTCAAACACAGCAGATTGTGAGGATGGCGCAGGATCGGGCAGAGTTTCATTCTGTTGTACATAGGGTCGCTATGAGTCAGAACTGACGGCATCTAACAACAGCAATAACATGAGAAAACATAGAATAAGGCCTATCCTTGTTTTCTAAGAGCTCATAATCAGCACTCTTGGATAGCAGAGATAGATGCAGAGAGCAATTATTTCTGCCTGGGGTCAGGGAAGAGATGAAATAGTATTTAACAATGTAATACCACATGGAGGGCCATGCTGTCCATAGAAGGCATTGGGAATGTACTTTAGGTAGGTTTTAAGTCATATGGCTTGGTCAGACTAGCTTTTTTTGATTCAGATTTGATCAGATTTTTCTCTTGTGCTTTCAGCCTCAGCACCCCAATCAGATGAAGGCTCTGACATTGATTCTGAACCAGATTTACCACTAAAGAGGAAACAGCGCAGGAGCCGAACCACCTTCACAGCAGAACAACTTGAAGAACTGGAACGAGCTTTTGAGAGAACTCACTACCCTGATATTTATACCAGGGAGGAGCTGGCACAGAGAGCAAAGCTCACCGAGGCCCGAGTACAGGTACTGACATCAGACATCCACGGCCTACTTCAAATCCAGATAGGAAAAAAAAATGTCTTCTAGTCTAAAGCATAGGAGTACCTGGAAACATGTTTGGCTGTTCACTGAAAGGTTGGTGCCTCAATGCACACAGAGGCACCTCAGAAGAAAGGCCTGGTGATCTACTTCCAAAAAATCAACCATTGAAAACCCTATGGAACACAGTTCTACTCTGACACACATGAGATTGTCATGAGTCAGAACTGACTTGGTGGCAACTGGTAAAATCTGGTAATCTAAAGCGTATTTCAAACCAAGAAAACAAGTATATGAGGAATGGAACTTAATGGGGATGCATAGCTTTAGACTTTGTTGATCATTACTAGGAGAATATGACTATGTTGTATGTGACACAGACATGTGTGTCAATTCATGCTGTTCATTAATTATTTCAGGATTCCTTTTATAAGCCAGGCACTACATGGGCTCTGTGAGGGGTACGCGGATAATAGCAAACAAATTTTGAGTCATTATCCTGTGCCAGATACTGTTCTAAGTGCTTTATATGTCTTAACCCATGAAATCATCATTAAAACTCTAGACTGGTATTACTACTACCCCAAATGATAGATGAGAAAACTGAGACTCGGTCTATTTAAGTAACTGCCCTAAGTCACATAGCTAGTAATTGATAGAGGTGACTGGATCCCGCACACACTTCATCTCTATGGTCTTTCAATTATGAAGGTGTACAGCGGTACAAAAAACATAATCCTTTCCTTTAAGGATTGTATAGTCTAGAAGCATTTCAAGTAACTACATTATTTTAAGACCATTTTGAATTATTTTTTGAACTCTTAGATGTGCTCTGAATCCCCTGGAAAAGGCTGCTTTGTTATAATAAGTTACCGTAGAGTGGTATAGAGTTTGGCTGCTAAAGAAAAGACTGGCAGTTTGAGTCCACCAGCTGCTCCTTGGAAACCCTATGGGGTGGTTCTGCTCTGTCTTGTAGGGTGGCTATGAGTTGGAATTGACTTAATGGCAATGGGTTTTTTTTTGGTTTTATAGAGTGGTAAAATAATGTTTTCATTATTAATGATAAACTTTCCCCTCAAGTTACTAAAGCACTATCTGAAAAATTACAAATATCTTAGTTGTTGTTGGGTGCTGTCGAGTTGATTCCAACTCACAGCAACCCATGTGTCAGAGTGGAACTGCCCAATAGGGTTTTCTTGGCTGTAATCTTTATGGAAGCAGATCACCAGGTCTTTCTCCCATGGAGCTTCTGGATGGGTTCAAACTGCCAACCTTTTGGTTAGCAGCCTAGCACTTAGCCATTTCTGCCACCAGGGCTCGTACAGGTCTTAGGGTATCCTGAAATTCCTTACAGCCTCAGAAGTTATCTGGAAATGTGCTCTTTATAGATACTTGACTTTCTAGTCAAAGTGAAGCTGGGCACTCTGTAGCAAGCTAGTTATCTTAGAGTGGATCAACTCTTTCTCATATGCAGCTCATTAATTACCTCCACTGTTACAGAAGGAGCCCTGGAGGCGCAGTGGTTAAAGCGATCGGCTGCTAACCTAAAGCTCGGCAGTTGGAAACCACCATCGGCTCTGTGGGAAAAAGGTGTGCCCGTCCGCTTCCGTAAAGATTTATAGCCTTGGAAACCCTACGGAGTCACTATGAATCAGAATTGACTTGATGGCAGTGGGTCTGGGTTTGGTTTTGGAATGTTACAGAATTTTACAGAAACAACTTCTTCCAGGCTTCAGAGACCTTATAAGAGAGATTGTTTTCTTCAGCTTGACTTTCCAGGTGATCACTATCCCCTAAACCCATTGCCATCAAGTCCATTCCAATTCATAGCAGCCCTATAGGACAGAGTAGAACGAGGAAAGTCAAGAATGCTAAGCTGAAGACATTCTCTCAAGGAGCTACAGTCTAATACAGGGAACAAAGTAAACATAGAAATAGTAAGAAAGCATATGAGAAGTGATGTAAGAGAGAGGCTAAGTGCAGTGGGAGTTGAGAAAAGGAAAGGATAAGATCTTGTTGGAATAACCAAGAGAGGATCATGAAGAAGGCAGATTTAAGATGGGCTTTCCAGACTTGATTGATATTTATTGGACAAGACAGAGGGGGAGAGTGTATTAGTAATAGGGAATATGAGCAAAGGCACAGAGAGCAGGAAGTACATGAGTTGCATACACGGTTGTTCTTCATTTTCACTCTAGTCATATTTAGGGAACATCAAATGGTCCAGTTTGGTTGGAGGGTAGGGAGTGGCAGTGTGTTGGGAAGGAATATAGTTGGAAAGCTAGGCTGAGGACATACAGTGGAGGGGAGGCAATACAGGCATGGAAAAGGTCAGTGCAGTGGGAATGGAAAAGAAGGGATAGAGGGAAAGAAGATACTTAGAGGTGGCATGGAGGCAACTAATTGTGTAAGCTGGAGGTGGGTGGAAGAATGAGTGAAGGGATGAGTCACAGATATACCAAGGTTTATCAGGTAGATGCTTCAGAGTTGAAACTATTGAATCTCTGTACCGATTGCATTGAAAGACAGTGTTTCTGCCAACTGTACATTACATAAATGACCATTAGCCATAAATCCTGAAAATATGCACGTATAAATATTATATATGAGATATGTATTGTATATAATAGATTATAGTGTTATAAATATTATATGTATATAATCTATTTTGCTTTTATTATAATTCTATTATTACCTGGTTTAAATGTGAAGTAAGATCCAATCATTCCTTCATGCTTTCAGCAAACCTTTATTGAGTGCCCACTATATTCCAGGATGTGGTCCCTATATTCCCTGGATGGCCAAGCCCACATCCTGGGTCTTTCCTTAAGGTAGAATATCAGCCCTAAAGATAAATTTGAATAAAAAAATATAAAACATTTCTTTCAAAGAAATCAAATAAGCAGAGTGGTGAAGATAGTAAGCACGTTCAATGTTGCTCAACCTGTCTTTGCCAAAAAACGGGGGCAGGGACAGAATAAATTTTAAAACCATGCAGCTTGTACAGAACCTAGCATTCTCATCTGGCTCAGTGAATGTCAAAGGATAATAATAATGGCCCATTAACTTCCAGAGGACATGGGATCAAACCAATAAAGAGTGGTTCATATTTTCTATACAGTGACCTCCTCTCCAAAGCAGGGCCCTCATTAATGTAACAGCTGTCTTAATGTGGCTTTAACCCGGTGACTCTTTACATTCCTCATGGCTTCTTTAGTTCCCTTGAGACACATCATGTCTTCACCACAGCTATGATCTACAGCCTAACAAATTCCCTAGAACACCCAGCATATGGATCTTTTACTAACCCAGCAGGAAAAAGAAGAGTAGTTAATCACTGATTAAAATGCCAAAACAAAATCCTTTAGTTTTGAGAAGGATCTGGGAAAGCAGTAGCTAAGTCAACTCAGTATGAGTGATAGCCATACAGTGTGAGTTAGCTTAATTTGGGGCACCTGGGAAAACCAAACACCAAACCAAAACCCCCAAAGCATGTCTACACTCTATTTTTTTCCCCCTGAAGAAAAATATTTCCAAACACTTCTAGATAGAGATGAGACTAAAGCTAAAATAACTTAGGTCTTTTTCAGGGTTTCCCAAAAGTTTGTTTGGCCAGTAGCTATGTTGTATTTACCACAGCTACATCTGAGTACTTAATCTACAAATTGTTGTACATCAGAGACTGTTTGTCTTATTCACCTGTTGGGTAGATGTTGTTATGCAAATAACTACAACAAATAAAGTTTTGTTGGGAAGAATGACTTGAAAATACTCATAGTGTGTAAAGGTTTTAGTAAATTCTATGAAGTAGACAAGCATTGTTCTCTTTTACCATCTAGATAATGGAAGACAGGAAAGGAAACTGTGGAAATAGCATGTAAGTTGGAGTCAGAAATGTGGAATTTGATCCCAGCTTGCCAAAAGTGTTTTATTGGAAAAGGTACTTAATCCTGCCGTAATCCTGCTGGGTCTCAAGGAAAAAAAAAATGGGGCTAGGTTAGATCAGATGATTTTTGCTTGGGTCAGGGACCACCAGGATAACCATAGATTAACTTCAGGAGATCTGAGAGACTTGAGATTTATACACAAAATTTTATACCTTTTGTGTGTGTGTGTATGCATGTAAACACACGTGCACCTTTGCATGTTGACTGGGGAAGGGACCCCAGGCTTTTATCATGTTCTCAAATGCCCTTGCCTCCAAAATAAAAACTATTAAACTGCACTGCACGAACTCTCAGGACCCTTTTAGCATCACTAGTCAGGGATTCTTAGGGAACTTTAAGAATTTAAAGTCACCGAACGGATTTGTATAGTTCAGAAGTTAATGCAGGTATGGAGTATTTGGCCCTGAACTCCGTAATGAGGCCAAATATGGTCATTCTGTAGCTGTCTGAGGTAGTTTGCTTTTGAGATGTATATGGGTGTATTTGAGTATGCTTTGTGCATGTTCATTATCTTCTGACATTCATGGGAGCAAGGTGGTTCTCCTTGTCAACTCTGCCCCTCTTCCCCAACCTGCTCTCCATATGGTGGTCCAAGCTGAATGGCAGCAATGATAGGAGAGTTGGGAAGCGTGTGGCATAGAAAGAGAAAGGAGAAAGAAGTGAATGAGAAGGACCAGCTGCTTGTCTTGAATTTACCTATTTAGAAAGTGCTGTACTTGGCATTGTAGCATTCGATATCAGCAAGGCTAGTGTTTAAGAATTTTATAATCTTGCTGTGAGTGCTTTTTCTAAGGATTAAGCATTACATTCTCTCCCCATTTTTTTCAAATTATGTTTGAAATAACCCATCTGGAATAATGCAGGTTAGATTGCCTTTGAGGACCACACCAAAAAATGTGAACAAGTGATTTATTGATGAGCAAAATTAGGCTTACACCATGGGACAATTAGCACTAATCTATGAAACTTGGAAGCAAATTTGACCTCAGCCTCCATTCAAGCCAACCTGGCTTTCAATGATTTGAAATGTTATTTGGGCACTTTTCTGTTTGCTTGTGGTCACAAAGGCTTTGGCTGTAGACCACAGAGCTAAGAAACCAAAGCAATGCTTTAGTTCTTGGGCTTTTCAGACAGAGGTGTTGGCATGAGATTTCACTTAATAGCTAAAATTTATTGAGCACCTAATATCTCTTAGGTATTCTCTTAAGCACTTTGATCGTTATGACAATGGCCACAACAGCCTTGTTAGGTAGACATTTTGTTTCCCCCATTTAGCAGATGAGTAAACAGGGGCCTGCAGATATTAAGCAAGTTGTTCAAGGTCACAAAGGTAGTAAGTGGAGGAGCCAGGATTCAATTTTGACCTTGGCCAAGGCCAAAGTATACTTTGCATTGCACCTGTGTGAATAAAAATATTACTGAGTCTTTTAATGGACCAAGTCTTTCCCAACTTACATTATTGAGAAATCTGAGAAGATTGGTTTCTTATTTTAGTCATGAAGAGAAAAATTGATGAAAACATTTTTCTCCTTTTGAGATTCATTATCTCTCTCTTTTTTTCTGCTAGTTATCATGCTGTTATGGGGATTTTTCAGTCAACTTAAATTTTGCTTCAAAAACAAACTGCCAGGTTGACTGGGTTGCTATTGCTACTCTTTTCAAAACAAAAGGAAGTTTCTAGTAACTGTAACTAATGAGTCATAAGTGTCCTCCACCCACTGTAGATGAACTTACTACATACTTACACACTCACACATGTCACTCAGTAGATTATTCATCGATTGTTAGGAATTAGTGTTATGATATTGAGAGAATTGTGATATTGAGACTGATTCTGAGTATCCCAGGAATGTCTTTGAGTTAAATATGAGATGATAACAGCATTCCAGGCTTATTATGCTTGGCCAGTTCTGGATTTCAAATAAAGACTACTTCAGGGGCATTTTTTCCCCCCATTAAAAATAGAAGCTGTGTCTTTTATGAATTTTGAAGCATAAAGAAGAGAAGGACCACTTCCCAATTTGCAACTTTAGTGTATTTTCATTTTAGTGTTTCTTTCGGCAGGTTCAGCTTATTCTCGAAGATGCAGAAGGCTGGCGGTGGCAAGATGATAAAAAAAAAAACTTGTCTAAATGTCCAGATACAGGCACGCCAGTCCTTAGTAAGCACTGGTTCCCTCGGGAATAGTTCTGTGGATTTATTTAGTCTTAATTTAAACAACTTCTGAATTCCTTTCTCTGGAAAATTCTTGAACCTCGTTCTGAAGGTTCATTTTTAAGTAAAGATTTGCTTTCTGAACTATTTATCTTCGTCTTCTAACCCGGCTCCTGATGGGTTTACTCAGTGCCTTCAGTACTTATTTGTATCACTTTGGAAAAATAAAAACAAAACAAAAAAACACCTTACACCCCTAGTCTTTTGGATTCTGTTTTTTGAAGGTATTTATAGGGTCGATATGAGTGGGAATCGACTCGACGGCAACGGATTTTTTTTAAATAGGAAGTTATGATGTTCTGTCTTATTTCTTATTTGAGTATAGAGAAAAATTAATATACTTTTTTTTTTAGAGCAGTTTTAGGTTTCCAAAAAAATTAAGCAGTAAATACAGAGAGTTCTTGCAGACTTCCTTTTCCCTCTACACACTGTTTCTCCCATTATTAACATCTTGTATTAGTGTGGTACAGTTGTAACAATTAATGATCCAATATCAATACATTATCATTAACTAAAGTTCATAGTTTATGCTTGGAAGCCCTGGTGGCACAATGGTTAAATACTCAGTTGCTAACCGAAAGATTGGCGGTTTGAATCCACCCAGCGGCTTTGTGGGTGAAAGACCAGACAATCTGTTCCTGAAAAGATTACAGCCTAAAAAACCCTATAGGACAGTTCCCTGTCACATGGAGTCACTATGAGTCAAAACTGACTCGATCGCACCTCACAGCAACTACAACACAGTTTACATTAGGGTTCACGCTTTGTGTTGTACGTTCTATGGGTTTTGAAAAACGCATTATGTCATGTATCTACCATTGGTGTATCATACAGAATAGCTTCACTGCCCTAAAAATCCCCTGTGCACAAAGAAGTTTTTGATTTACAAGATTAGGTTAGATGCAGTTAGAATGAACCTTGAATCAATAGTAGGTTGAGATTGACGGTGAGATCAAGCATAGCCACCACCAGGGTAAATCAAACTTGTTTTACTTAGCCTAAAGTTTGCAGAAGGAAGTTGGCACAGAGAGATTGGCAGCATGCTCTGATAGCAATGGAGGTGCAAGTTTCTGAGTCCTTTGTAAAGGGCCTCACCAGGAGAATCATAGGTGCAGATAGTAAGTCTGAATGAGTGAAGGTCACGTTAGAGCTTTTGGAAGTTCATCTCTCCTCCAAGCTCAGTACATGAAGTTGGAGGTGCACTCCCCATAGGTTCATCTGGATAGGTGTGGAGAACCACCTCACCGGAGCCAGGTGTATTCCATCAGTCTAGAGGTTTTATAATATAAACTGTGACTACAGTGTGTAGTTATAGTACAGTACACTCAGGCATGAACACAGCCCTAATTTCTCATGCCTTCTCTCCCCAGGGTAACATAGTCTGTTCCAAGCACTTATCTAAAAATGGTTTTCTTACCCTGATGCCTCTGAGAGTCATGTTAACAGGCACTTAGAATGGCAGTGAGAAAGTGCAGCTGATGCAGACCTGAAATCAAGCGCTGTTCTTGGTTCTATTATCCCAGGTGGCAATTTATTAAGTAAAACTCTAATTCAATTATGTATCAGCATGGGAAAATATTGACTTACCTTCTTTTCCTGTTGGAAGATTAAGGAGTATGAAATGTTAGTATTTTGGGGAAGTGCAAACAGCTTCCCTTACCAATGTCTTGCAACAATGGTTAGAAACAGTATTTCAGACAAATGGTTGGCAAAATATTTGTTAAATTGGGCTTTCCTGCTCTAGAAGAGAGAAACTCCTCCCTTCTCTCTTTCTTAAATGATATGACTTAAAAAATTACAGTTAAATTGTATAATTGTTAACATTGTTTTGTAAGGAACTCAAACCTCGCCTTGTTGTTGTCAGATACCATTGAGTTAGCCCGACTCATGGCGGGAGGAAACACTGCCCACTTCTGTGCCATCCCCCGATCGGTTGTGGATTGGACTGTTGTGATCCATAGGGTTTTCACTGGCTGATTTTCAGAAGTAGATCTCCAGGCCTGTCTTCCTAGTCCATCTTAGTTTGGAAGCTCTGCTGGAACCTGTTACAGCATTATAGCAACGCGTAAGCCTCCACTGACAGCCGGTGGTGGCTGTGCATGAGGTGCATTGGCCAAGAATTGAACCTGGGTCTCTGGCATGGAAAGCGAGAATTCTACCACTGAACCACCATTGATTGCCTCATCATCCTATGTTATACATCCTATTGTCAGTCACAGTGGTCTTCTGAAACAAGCATGTTCCCACTCTGTACTATCACCTCTGTCTAGAGTGATTCCTCCTTGAAATCATATACAACCTTTAAAAAGGAACTGCAACTCTGTCCCCACTATTCTAAAGTTTCCCTGATTCTGTGCATCTCCAAACATGAAGCTTCTGTATCTAGTGAGCAATTATTTTGACCTCTTTGACTATACTGTGAATTCCATGAGGACACGATTGTGTTGTCTTATTCACTCCTGTTGTCTAGAGTTTAGCATATATAAAAGGTGCTTGGAAAACTTTTGTTGCCTTGAACAAGGTTGTAAGCGACTCCAGTGCAAGGACCCTATTTTATTCATCCTTTTATCCGTCCAGCCCCAAATTCAGTGCTTTTTCATATTAAGTTTTCAATGATCTTTTGATATAGGAATTAGAATATCTTTAATTGGTGGAAATCCTCTCTCATTTTGGAGAAACACTATGTGTGTACCTTGGAAAAACCACTCTAAGATCTGTGTTTAAACTCCACAAATGTGTATAAGATTTGAGTAAGATCACGAGGCCCATGAAAGGCCTTATATCAGTTTCTCGAAGTTTTGTATGTTCAGTTACATTTCTTGCTGATATTATTGCCTTTTCTCTCCATCTACTTACACAAAATACCTGGGCTTTGAGCCCCTAGAGGGCATTTTATTATATTACCTCAGGTTGTCCTGAACATACCTGGTTAGCACAGTGGTTGGCATAGAGTAGATGCTTAAAGCTGTCGTTGAAAGAAATAATAAATGAACTAAATATTTAAGGAGTCTTCCTAACTCAAACACTTCATTTCTTTAAATACTTCCGTCTTGGGCATTTATTTCCATTAAGCTCAGTGCAATGTCTCACACTTTCAATGGAATGGTAAAATGGTCCCACTTACCCTCCTGTTCTATTGATATGGCTGTCCTGGCGCTATGGCCATACTGACCACAGAAATGCAGAGAGAGACTGATCAAAATATACAAGGCTTAGTGTAACAGGTGAGGCCAAATTTAGGACACATTTATGTGGGGTCAAAGAGGTTCATGGATCCTCCTAGAATGTGTGATACATGAAGATGAGTGGACGTTGATAGTGGGAGTTGGGAGTTCTTGTTCCTACCCCTGCTCAGCCACTTCTGCCCATGGCCATCACAAGGTTCATGGGGGGACTGCTGCAGGACCACAGAGGGTCTTTGAAACCCCTCACTGACCCTGAAACTTAACTCCCCTCCCTCCCCTGACAATACTCTAAGCAACCCATAAGGTGGAGGGCTCTTGCATCTCTTTGCCCTGTCAGTAAGGGGCCTTTAATCTGTTTAGCATGAAAAATTCATTAAGAATGTACTATTATTTCATCAGTGAAATCCTCAAATTTTAAATTAAATCCATAGGTCTGGTTTAGCAACCGCCGCGCAAGATGGAGGAAGCAAGCTGGGGCCAATCAGTTGATGGCTTTCAACCATCTCATTCCCGGAGGATTCCCCCCCACTGCCATGCCGACTCTGCCAACATACCAGCTGTCGGAGACCTCTTACCAGCCCACATCTATTCCGCAAGGTATAGAGGAAGGGAGTCGAGAAGATGAAAATGTAACTTCCTTTCTCTTTATACAGTGAAATCCTTCTATGATGCTGACTGACATCAATACTGTTTGTATATGAATTGTATTAGCTCAGACTGTCCTAAACGTACCTGTTACGTTTCAGAAATATAGCTTGTTCTGTGACGTATCTGAGCCTCTCCAGAGAAACTGTGTTGTAATAGGATTCTATTGCACTATTTGAAAGCAAAACAAAATGACACAAAACAACTTTCCTACGTAAACATGCGGTTTGCTTTTCTTCTGTTAAATTTTTACCTAACATTTGTTCTTTAGTCTGCAATTAATGGAAGTTCTCTGATGCTTACTATCTGGGGTAGTAACAGAGAGAAGGTAAGCATAGATGAAGTCACTATTTGTTAGTACTTAGTGATGAATGGGATAATGTTAAATTATAAAGCTAAATTACTTTGAATTATGAAAGATACCATTCCAGGCATTTGAAACTACACGATTACACTCGTATTTAGATGCTTCAAAAGTTTATTTGATAAGAAATTTGAGACTTGCCATTCTTAATTGCTTAATCTCACCTGGATTAATAGGGTTCACTACCAAAACAATCATATGAGTGTTGTTAATGTGATTTCTGCATCAGATTCTGGGTGAGTTTGCCATGAGAGTATATAAGTGAGTTACATTCTTACAGATACGTGCAGAGATATGGCTGTATTTGTTACGAGGGATCCTATAGGAATAGGTTAGGAAATACAGTTTGGGATTAACATTTGATCTGACCAATACTAGATGACAGATGCATTAGATTGGGTATGTAATAACTAGATAGCACTGATGGCTTGGTGACTTGTGAACTTTTGCACTGAACTTTCTCTGCCAGTCTACAAAGGAACGTTATAGCTGATAATCTCCTTCATTTCAGCCGTGTCGGATCCCAGCAGCACCGTTCACAGACCTCAACCGCTTCCTCCGAGCACTGTACAGCAAAGCACTCTTCCTTCCAACCCAGAGAGCAGCTCTGCCTACTGCCTCCCCAGCACCAGGCATGGATTTTCCAGCTATACAGACAGCTTTGTACCTCCGTCTGGGCCCTCCAACCCCATGAACCCCGCCATTGGCAATGGCCTCTCACCTCAGGTTAGTCCCGTGTTTCCAGACAGACGACTTGCTGTATACCAGAACCAAATAGTCAATTCCCCGAGGCAGTGGTATAATGAATTGCCAAATTTAAACCATAATGTATTCTTTATACAAGCCACATGATTTCAGTTTTCTAGCTTCCTTTCTCTCCACCCTTCATACTGGCTGCATCAAAAGTTGTAGCTTAGACTTAAAATGCAAGTGATTTTTAAAAATGCAACCATGAAGCCTTTGTGTTTATACTGAGTTGTCAAGGCATTTGTCACGTGTTGTCTTCTCCACCCTTAATTCTGGGCTTTGGTTAAGAAGCTCCCAAACACTGGGGTGTTTTTTCTTTTTTCTTTTTTATGGTATTTGGTCAGCTGATGGGCTTGTGAGCAAAAGTACCTCATAAGAAAACACCAAAGCTTTGACAAAACAATCGGAGAGGAAGCAAACGAGTTGTGTGGAGTCAGACCCAGCTGATGACTACAGAACTCAGGAATAAATGAGTTATAAGTGCACAGATTAGGAGAATTACTGCTCTTTGGGAATATATAAATATCTGAATGTCATAATTGTTTTTCTCATTTGCACTGGACTATGAGGTTTTCTTGGGAGAGCGTATTAATAAATTGCCTTGATTGCATGTCAGAGGGCTGGTTAAATTTCCTACATGTGGCATCTGTCTGAGGTTGACATTATTAGTAGTTGTTTAAATACAGATCGCTTGATTTTATTAGAGTGCACTTGGCCCAGGTGGTGAGGAGAGCTGCCCACTGAATTTGCAGAAATGTCACAAGGGGGTTGCAATCTATAATTACAATGGAGGATCTCTTCAGGGTCGAGAGTGAGAGTTTTAACAGCTTTATCTTTTCTCAAGCCGCTTTTCCTCTTGGTGGCTAGAAAAACAGAGAGAAGCTCAGAATGACACAGATGAAAAGTGAAAAGACAATTATACTCAATTACACACTAATCACTGACTATCACCGCCGCCGAAGCACCAAGAGGGCATTCTAATAGGCAGAAAATGAGATTTTAATGGCACAAAGGGTGGCCAAAATACCGACTCATATATCTTTGTCTTCTTCGTTTTCTTCAACTTGTGGTTTGCGTCTCGGGAGTGGAGCTCCTAGGCTCTGCATAACAGTGATAACTCTGAGAAGCTGGAAAGTTCAAAGCCATTGGAGTTGAAAAGAATGAATAGCCAAGGCAATGAAATAAACATTTCTGCCTAAAGGCAAAAGTTCATAAACCCTTTTTTTGTAACAGTAAATGTAATTAAGTTTCATAGATTCCTATAAGCACATCCTGGAATAAAAAAAATAAGAGGTGGCTTTAAACCTCAGTTGAAAAAAATCACATGAAAACAATGAAAGGGCTTCCTTTAATACATTTAATTTTGAAGCCCTGGCATTTGTGGATGTGGTTTTGCATGACGCTCATGAACTTCTATTCATAGATTCATCTCAAAGATGTTCAGATTCCTGGCATATAAGCTTCTACCACGTTTTAGAAGTAACATCAGAAATCGTTATCTTAGCTATTTTTAATAAGTTGTTTTGGGCCATGGAAAAGCTTTTTATGAACATGATTTGGTTAAAAGTTTGAATAAAAGTTAACTCTGACCCTGTTTCTGTAAGGTGAGAGCTGGGATTTCTTTGGCATTTTTTACTGCCTTATTCTATTTAATCATAATATAAATAGCAACAGCAACCTGCGTTATGTAAGTAAAACTGCTACTTTCTTGTATTGCATACATGTATTATCTTGTATGTTATAATGAGTGTATTATATTGTATTATGTAAGTGTTCTATAAGTGGAACTGCTAGATCTTGATCTTGAAATTGTTAATCCTTGATTCAAGGAGCCTGGCTATGATTTCAGGGTTGGTGGTAGGGTGAGAATCATTCCAATATCAGGCAATGGAAAATTCCACTGGAACTTTTCCTGTATTTCTTTACTACGCTCATATATTATGCAAATATTACATTACAGATTACTTATTACATTGCAGATATCCGGGATGTTTGGCATTTCTACCATACATTTCTGCCTCCAACCAGCACAAGGAATCCATGTTTTCTTAGTTCTTGTAGCATCCCCAGTGAATGAGAAAAGAGATACAAGATAGAAGTTTTGCCTTATTTCCTTAGGCACAGTTGGAGAATGAAAGGCAATGTATGAATCAGTATCTTGCCGAACATATTTACAGAACAACAGAGTAGGAGAACTGGGATTAGAACTCAGACTTCTATAGCCTTTGGGATTTATCACTTCAGAGGAATGCCTCTATTTAAGCTAGAGGGACCTACTTTTGGTTGGCTGGCTTTCTCAAAACTAACGTGAAGAAAAATTTGAAAAAATTAGTTCATGTCAAATAGCATGGGTCATCTAAAGAGGTGAGTAAAGAAAAGGTGCTGATTCTTTAGTCACTGCTGAAGTACTTATTAGCATATTGGATCACATAACATTAAACCTAGAACAAATCCTAAGATTAGGAGCCCCTGGATGGTGTAAACAATTAAGCGCTTGACTACTAACTGAAAGGTTGACAGTACCAATCTACCTGGAGGTGCCTTGGAAGAAAGTCCTGGCCATCTACTTTCAAAAGGTCACAGCCTTAAAAGCCCTATGGAGCACAGTTCTACTCTGACACACATGGGGTTGCCATGAGTTGGAATTGACTTGATCGTAACTGGTTTTATTTATTTATTTTAAATCTTAAGATTATTATTTCTTCCCTTCCTCTTTTCCTACTCTTCCACCTCCTCTGCCTCTGCCTGGCCCTCTAACATGCAGATAAACCGCCTGAGGCCCAAAGAGACTGTGGCCTGCTAAAGGCCACAGAGCTGATGAGTGGAAGAACTGGGACTAGAACCTGGGACCTTGGCTCCAGCCATGGCATCCATGATAGCACACAGATGGCTGAAAAATAGGTTTCAGGAAAAAACAGTGGCAAGGACTTTTACTTATATTTTAAAATGATTTAATAGAGACTAATTTTTTTAAGCTTTTGGGTTCAGGTTAATTTACACTCTTTTTGCTAAGCCTAATTGTCATTAATCTCTTAACTCCTGCAATAATAAAAGTACTGCATGCTTATTGTAGAAATGCAAAAAAAATTAAAAAAAAAACTCAAGTAGAAAAAATTCCCGGAGGGCAAGCACTGTTAATGTTTTTGCATATTGCCTTCTAGATCTTTTTAGGTTTCATGCCTTTTTTTTTTAAACAAAATTGAGATGATAGTTTATATAACTTAGTCTATTTTGCTTTTTTGCTAGCTTTCATCATAGGACTTTCCCCACCTATTAATTTTAAACTGAATGGAATCTAAAGTTTTTTGAGTCATCATGGTCAATTTATTGTAGATCTCTTTGGTGGAAGTTATTTAACATGTTAAAAAAAATGGTGCATTTTACTAGATTTTTTTCCCCTAGAATCATTGAATTTGATGTGTTATTTACCATTCAAACTTGGAAATCATGAGCTATAATGGATATGAACTTCTGTAGAATGGGCTTTCTTGTTTTTTGTCAAGGAATTGATAAATACCATAAGGATAGGTGGATTGTTTCTCTGTGTGTGTGTAGACTGTAGCTGATTTTTGTTTGGAGTCTTTAACATATCTGCCTCTCGAGCCAAGGTTCTCTTAAGGCTTAGAATCAGAGCCACTAGCCTAACGGTCTTCTTAGATGCTCTCAGTCCTTCTCTTAGGGATGGTCTCAGCTTTGTGAGGGACAGGTGTGAAGCAATGACTCAGGAATGTCACACCTATAGCAGCAGGTCAGATTAGTGTAGCAGTGGGTTGACAGTTGCCAGTTTAGAATGGGGTATTCTAAATCTCAGAATAGTGACCTGAACTTTCAGAAACTTTGGTCATATTCATCCTCAAGCTGCTGAAAGGGTCTGTGCACTACTTAATCATGGACAAGTTATCTCGTTCTGGAATCAACAACGATATCTTGGGAATACTCCCTATTTTACTTATAGGAAAACTGAGGCTAACTCAACACAGTCATCTAAATGGTAGAGTGAGTTAGTGGTAGAGTTAAGAGCCAAAACTCTCTTTTCCAGACATTACTAATTCCTCTGTGAACACAAGTTACATATTTGACTTGCTGGTTTCCACCAGAGGAAGCATAAGGCCCGGAGAACCTTTCCATGGGCTCCAGCACTGATATTTGACCTGATTTTCTTTCTTTTTTTTTTTTTTTAATTGATGTAATTAAGTGAAGTTTACATTTCAAGTTAGTCTCCCATAAAGAATTTTTTTTTTTTAACATACATTGTTATGAGACCCCAACCACTCACCCCATTCTGTGACAGCACACTCTTCCACTCCGCCCCTGATTCCCCATGAACATTCAACCAGCTCCTTACTCTCTCTGCCTTCCCCTCTAACCTCTGGACAGAAGCCGCCCCTTTGGTCTCTT